AGTGAAACACATATTTGGGTTTTTTAAAGGTATTCCAACTGGATCATATTGACAGGATGCTACAAAAAAAAAACACGCATAGGTTGGAATAACTTGGAAATACAAAGAAAGGTTATAACTAAAGAATGAGTCCAAAGACAAACAACATGAGGGTCAAGGACATGGATGAACAAGTCAACCTTGAATAAAAAGAAAATATTCAGTCTACTGGGAACAAAAGACAGTGAGAGGGTGGGCAGGGAAAGTTGAGAAGCACCAGAAAAGATATTCATTTTCCTGAATAAAATAGACAGTGAAATCATCTGTTGAGACATGTGGGTTTAAGAGGAGACCTAGGAGGTCTGGAATTACCCCTGAAAGAAACAGGATCTGGGCTACTCAAACTCAAGATAAAGCCTGACAGGTGTCCATTCACTAGGGAACGTGATATTTTAAAAACCCTCAAGGAATCATTTTTCACAAGGTAATTTCTTTCTTAATTTGGTTTATGAGTTCAAATTTTACACAGCAGTGATTCAAAGGGTAAGGCAGTGCTTATTTTCCTACAAGAGCTAGCTCCTAATTGAGGTCAAGTCCACAGTGACACTAAGATAAAGGAAAATCGTAAAATAATTATAGTTATATAATTTCTGCTTGTATTTCTGTAGTATTTGTATAAAATGCTGCTTGTATTATCCCAAGCAGAATTTTTTTTTAACCTTAAAAGAACCCTGCCTGGTAGGTATTACATCTTTTTTTGTGTAGACAAAAAAAAAAAAAATTGAGTATCAGAGAGGAGAAAAATGACACGTCCAATGTTTTACAGAAGGTAGAAATGTCAATATTCAATCCCAAGTGTTTTTCTTGCTAAAATAAAACTTTTCCACTGTATCATATATTTGTTTTAAATGCATATCAAAGATAACTGAAATTTAATCCATGTTTGTTTTGTATTTAAGAAACATAAATAAGATTGTCCTGAATCTACTGAGAAAACGACTATATTCATCAAGAAAAAAGTCAACTTAATGAGTTCTTTTAATTTTATCCAAAACTGGTTTTATATCAGGTACCAATAAATTTCCTAACTTAAGAATTTGTCAACCTTTATTAAAAATATTTTAGGCACACAATCTAAACTTTAAAATGGTCCTTTGGAGAATTTAAATGTGGTGAAGTCACTACAAGTGATTATTTGTGATATGTATTAACCTCTGCTGTCATGTTTTAAAGGGCTCAGACATCTACAAAAATGAAGATCTAGCCTGGATATCATCAAAATTTACAAATAGTGCCCTGGATGTTTAAAAAAGTTTTTTTGAAGTGCTGGAATATTTGGTAATATTTGATTTCATCATACCATGTGTTAACCAAAACTCTGAGCAGTATACAAATGTTTGTAAGGAATCTAAGGTAGGAGACAAGCACAGTGACACAATTCTATATTGAGTCTAAAGGCTGATGCAGGATGATAACAAGTTCCAGGGCAGCCTTGGAAACTTAGGGCAACCCTGTCCCAAAACTAAAAAATAAAAAGAGCCAGGGATGTAGCTCAGTGGTGGAGCACCCAGTTCAATCCCCAGTACCAAAAAAAAAAAAAAAATAGCAAAGGAATTCAGACTAGGAAGTCTTAGAAATTAATAGTGCTCCTAGAACTACTGTAACTAAATCTACAAATTTGAACTGATCTATGTCTATCAGCAGTGATGACTTACTTCAAATAAGAATATTTTCATACACACACATTTTTGGACACAAGACTTGATAATAGTTCAATAGACTGAAGAATATAAATGTATGCAGTACCCAAAATAATGTATATGTCTCAAATTACATTGTAGCGTAATGAATGAATTATTAATTATCAAACTAGGAACAAATGAAAAAAGTTTCAAGAATATGCAGACATTAATTTTTATGTTCTGAATGTACAAAACACCCCTCCTCTACATCAGCAGTAATCTGGAACTTAATTAGAATTGCAAAAAAAATGTACACATCATGTAGTGCAACTCCTTAATTTGAGAGACAAGGACACTGGACCCAGGGAAGGGAAGCTTACCAAGATTCAGTTTAGGTAAAAGTGGAATTAAAATCCAGGTATCTGGATTCAGAGTTTAATGCATTTCCCAGAAGTAGCATAGATATAAATAACCTCATGTAATTTCATCTGGCAAGCAAATTCAGAAGCGCAGTAGAACTTAAGAATCATGCTGAGTTCGCTGTTTTATCATATGCAAAAACACCTTCTATAATAAATGGATAACTAAATAACATTATAATTACAGGAGGAAAATTATTTTAACTAATCAAACACTTTGAAAACACTCTCTAAAGCACATTCTTCAAGATCTCTTCTAAGTAATAATCAAATACATAAAATGTTCAGGTTTTTTTTTTTCCCAGCAGTGTTCTCAGAATCATCTCTACTGAAATCTTAACACCAAAAAAGTAAAATACAACAAAATACAACAAAATAACCAAGAAACTAGTACTTTTAACCTCATGGCCTTCAATTCTAAATGAAGCAGTCCCAAAGGAGCACTGATTTGCATCTATCTCCAATCAAAAAGCAAAATAAAATCACTGTGGAAACTCATTGGTTTATATCACACTGCCCTTATATGTATCAGCTTCTGGAAAATCATTCGAAAGAACTGAATCATCTGGATCATTTTTATTACTCACTCAGTCTTGAGACTGTCTGCACAATACTGACTGAAATGTACTTCAGTGTGCACCTTTCTTCCAAATGAATATCTATGTCAGGTTTATTTATAGCCACTGCCTTCAATCAGTGCATTTCCAAGTATGAGAAATAAAATAATCTCAACAACCTTCTACAGAGACCTGAAACAAAACCTAGAAATCTTGGAAAACTGCCTTTGAAAATATAATGAAAAGTCTATAACATAAAATATACACTAAGATTCACTGAGATTCCAAAGAACACTCACCTTATATTCTTTAATAAACACATAAAGTTCCCCAGGTACAATTAGAGAAGAAATTTAAACCTTAAGCATCCTTTAGCATAACTCTTTATGTACTATAAGATTATAATCATCATCTCCTTCATTCTCTTTTCCTTATTATGATTTCTCTGAAATTTGGGCACCTTCTTTGTTTCTTACTTAGATGCTTTTCTGTTTAGGAGCTTTCCTCCTAATTCTTTACAAAAGCAGGACATGCTTCCCCCTGCTGGGAAAAAATTAAATTACAGGGTACATCAGAATGGTCCTAAGTATGAAGAAATCAAGTACGGTAGAAAAGATAAAATGTTAAAAGAGCCAGGTGCACAGTCTTCTCTTCCTGTTTTACCAGTTGCAGAAATAAATATGTCCTCCACTCTCTGAAGAGTTTCTCTTATGCATCTTGTTGATTTGGCAGTTTTCAGGTACAAAAACTCACATTAATGACTGATGAATCAGTCATTGAGTCAGCTGTCCCAAAGCAAACTCCAATTAGCAGGTAATAAAAAATTATCAATTTGTAACTTTTTTTTGCACTTTAAAGACATTATATGCTAAATGAAGACACTGGAAAATAGTGAAGTAAACAGACAGCTGAGTTGCATTTTTAATCATTTTAAACAACTGTAAGCCTTCATTAACTCATGTTTCAGTATTCCTATTATTTTTATGTAGCTGTCTTTAAAAAGGAGACAGAGTTTAGTTGTTTAATCGACTTTACTTTCCACTTTAATTCCTATGCTTTTATATTCAGTAATCAAGAAAGTAACGAGTATAATTGCATTTTACTCTCAATCACTTTACAAAACCAGCCCTTTCCTTGAAAACAGTTCAGCTATTTCACATGTTCCATATTCTGATTATAATTTTTTCCTATTTAGCATGCAAACATTTTGCTGTTAGTATAAATAACATCCATCAGTAAAATATAAAAATAAAGCTAACGTCTTATAAATCATATGTGGAGAATAATTTTTCCTTCCATGTACAACTAAGACTCAAAAAAATTATATTAATGCAGAGGAGCTGGAGTAAAGGAAGTTGTCACTTTTAGTTTTGTGGTAGGTAAGTCCATAACAACCCAAGCTACAAAACACACTGAAGCCAATTTGATGATGAAGCAATTCATTATTAATGAAGCATTCATCCCCCCAAATCTGCAATTGTTTTTAAAAAGGCATGTGTAGATTACTACAGATATAGGCAGTGTCTTTAATAGTTACAGGTCATTATTTCAATATAAATTGAGTAAATTTGGGATAATATTTGTTATACAGAAGTTTGTGTGTGTGTGTGTGTGTGTGTGTGTGTGTGTGTGTGAGCGCGTGCGCCTTTTTAAAAAAAACCTTTCAAAGCAAAGCAAAAGGCAATACATATATGTTCCTCTGGGAATGGAATCTCCTTCAACATTACAGGTACACAAAAGAAAATGCACACTTGGTAGAACAGTTGATCAATTATGGAGTGTTCCCAGGGACCAATATCTGGCAGAGTACCCAATCATCACACTTCAAATAAATGTATAAGCACTTTAGTCTCTGCTTACCACCTTCACATAAATACACAATCATGGATAGTTTAATCTTGATTAATTCTATGACTTTCCATAGAAAAGACTTTGATTAAAGGGTATCAAAATCACTTCCCAAATGCAGCAGGGGTGGGGGGAGCGGGAAACTGATCCATAGCTAAGAAGCTCTTAGAACACTACATTGATCACTATTTACTTCCAAACTGATTTCCCTTCCTTCCCTAAGCGAAGTAGACTGTGTTACACTTTATGCTTTTCCCCTCCCTTGGTCAATGAGCCTAACAGGTCACATAATCTTGTAGCTTTGGTCTTCCCCAAATTAAGACATAGAGAAGGAGCACTGCTGCCCTCCCCAAGAACAGGTTCCGTCCTCCTGAGCTCTGAAGCGAGCATCTTCAGGGAGGACACTTTCTGCGAAGGCTAAGAAAGGCGTCCCTCCCCAACTTCACTCCCCTAATCAAGCCGCGGGGAAGATGGGCAGCCGACGGTTTGTGCCCATCCACAGGGGCAAGTCCTACCTTCAGCCAAAAGGCGCGATGCATGCACAAAAGATGGATCCAGGCTATCTTTCTCTGCCATCAGCTCAGGCAAATATTTCTCCTCTTCCATAGCGCGGACTTCGGACCGTCCCCGGGCGAAGCGCGAGGTTTCGCTCGCTTGGACGCAGGGTCGCCGGGCAGCGCCTAGCTCCCGCGCTGCTCCGCCTCCGCCGCTGCAAAGGGATCTCTGCGCGTCTTCACTGGCCCATGCACCGAGTGCTTGCTACTCCCGCCGTCGGGCTGCGCGGCCCCGCGCCCACACCTATCGGTCCCTTCCGTCGTCCCTCGCTCGCGCTGAGCCTCGGCTCACACCAGCGGCCTTAACTGGGGAGGCGGGAACAGGGCGCGGCCCACCTCCACCAACCACTCATTGGTGGTGGTGCCAGGAGAGGCGGGACGCCCGCAAAGGATTCGGTCTCTCATTGGGCCACACTGCACGTCGGGTTGTCTTACTGGCAGGAGGCCGCTGCAGAGGGGAGGGGAGCTCAGAAGGTGCAAACGCTTTCTTCTTGCAGCCCAGCCTTCTCTGGTTATTAGGCATGCCCAGTTCTGTGGAACCCTCTGTGCTGTCTGCTGAGGTGCGGAGGATGGAGAGAGCGGGAAAAGCACTAGTTAAACAGAGAGGCTCTGGTTTAAAACGGAGGAAATGGGGATGAGTAGTGAGCCTCTGTGGGGGTGGGAAAGCTCCAGGGAAAGTCTCAGATGGACTTCACCTGCGTCCCTAAGGCACAGGTGTCTCCTTTCCCTCTTGCAGTTCAGACGCACTCCAGGAATCAACAGCGCACCGGGTCTGGAAATATAATAAAGACCGCAGGTGATCTGTGGCTGAGATTTCAGATGACCTACATCTTGAGGACGCAGTAGGATGTTCATTGATAAACAAATAAAGCGGCTCTGGGGCGATGTTGTTGTACAGCAGCATGCTTCCAGGGTAGGATCATTATAATACTGAATTAGTTCCAGTTCCCCCATCCATCCCTTCCTCCTCCCCTTCAGGCCTTTCTGGGGCGGGGACACTGATTTTTAAAACCAGTTAATTACCCACGGTGTGCGAAAGAATTAAGAAGAAATATGAAAGAAAAGTCTAGAAAATAGATAACAGCGGTTGCTCTAATTTTCCCTTTTCTCCTTATTTTAGGTGTGCTAGTCTCTTTCGCTGTTTCAGGTACTGGTGCTGAGCCGCTTTATATCTGTGCCATCTCTATTTTAGGGAGAGTTAAGCCCACATGGGTTTAACCAACAACTGAGGCAAAGCCCATTCTTCTCTGTGCATACTTCAAATGCTAGGATACTTTCCATAGATAAACAGTCATTTCCCAATTCCCCTTTTGGTGTGGAATTATGGGGCCAACTTTCTTACGAATAAAATATGCTGAAACCTTTCCAAGCTCTCTTACTATATTCAAATCTTCTCCTTATATATTAATTTTCTTAAATGAAATTGGGACATTATCTTGTATTTGTGTAATGTTTAAAAAGTTTAACATGTGTCAAGTCCATTATCTCAATTTGGCTTCACAAAAGCACTCTGAAAAACATAGGCTAAGGATTACTTTCTCTATTTTTACAGATGAGGAGACTAAGACAAAGAGAATTCAAGTTTCATAACTAATTTATCCTTAGTTTTAGGTTGCACTCCTTTAGCCTACTGTTAACTATTTAATTTATCTATTGTGTTCATTTAGTAAAAATTTATTGGATATTTTGAAATGTAATAGAAACTGTATATGAAATTAAAGAAATATTGATGAACAAGATACACACATTTCATTTCTTGTCATCATAGAGATATTTTATAATGGAGGAAGACAAATAAAACTATGCAAACAAAAGAAATGGTAATTGTTGGTTGTGATAAAGAGAGGAACCAACCAAGGAAAAGAAAACACAAGACTGATGCTCTACTGTGTGTGTGTGTGTGTGTGTGTGTGTACATATATATATGGATATATATGTATTACTTAAAACATTTAAGATAAAACCTAACAAATAAAGAAATTAGCTGTGTAAAATGAGCAAAAATAAATAAATAAAAAATAAAAAGACATTCCAAGCAAGGGAACTTGCCCTTACGAAAGTCCTGTGACTGGAAAGAGCTGGGCCTATTCTTGAAATCCACTAAGGTCAATGTAACCATAGTGATCTGTGAGAGGGAGGAAACGGGGAAAAATGGGATAGTTGGGTGTAGGACAAACTACCCAGGATTTGATGGATAGGGAATAATTTTGATCTCATTCTACATATAATGGGGGATCCTAAAGTATTGTTACCTTTCTGTTTGGATGTGCTTCTGAGAAGATTGCCTTCTTGCTGTTACCTTACTTTCAAAGAAAGTGCAATTTAGAATTGAAGATATGTACAGAGAGTGTTATTTTTTTTTATTTGATTCTGTACAGGATGTTCAGTGGTTGAAGGGTTATGCATCCTGCACCTGAGGTGAACGAGACATGAAGGTAAAACAAGCTGCCAATCTTCATAGAGGTGGCTAAAAGCTGCCAGAGCAGTAAAGATTGGATAAGTTATCAACCATAGCTAAAAGATTGTAGAAGTTTTATAATATAAATTAGAAAAAGTATTGTACAATAATTGAAGCTATATTTTATGTTGCAGCATACCAAGAGATTAAAAGTAAATGTTGCTTATGGGGACATACTCAATCCCAGTTTTCTATCAAAAAGACATCATAAATTTATTATGTCTGGCAACAACAATTACTTTATTATTTATAGTCTTCTTTTCCACAATTCAAGGTGCACTAAGGAGATACCACAGAGAGCTGTCCAATTGCTATTATGAAATGTCCATAACCTAGATCCTTACAAATATGGTCAACTACCTACCTTTATATTTTCTAGATATTATCAAAACTAAAGACTTCTTATTTATACTTTTTCCTATAACCCTCTTCAAACACATAAAGTGCATTTCACCAGTAACAATATACTTACATAACTTAGAAAATTAATATTATTCTAAACTTTAGGATAACTTGTATACTTAGAACATGATAGACATATATAAGCAACATTGACCATTAGAAATCAATATGCTTCAGAATTGACTCACAAAATATTGCCTTTTTCCAAAGAGAATATAGCCAAATAAAAGCAAACTCTAGTGCTATACACTTACACATCAGTATCAGATCCATGTGTTTTCAATAGATGGCTCTATGTCACTATGTGTTCTCTACTGGTTTATGTATAAATATTTTATGAGGACAACAATTATTCATTAAATATTCTCAGATAAACCTTATGAATGCAACATTTTATAAACATAAATGAAAATAACAAGAACCTTCTATAAATTATTATTTAATATAGTGTAATAGTGCATGTACATGAATAAATTATAATGGCTGGTAGCTCATGTCCTCTTCTAATGTTGTATATAATCAAAATCACCATCAAATTGATTTATTTACCATAGTTAAAGGTTTTTCTTACTTTAAACAGGTCTTCTAGTCCTGAAAGGGCTTTTGTTTTTAATGAGGTTACATTTACTGAGCCATTATTTCAATGATGGAATATTATGAGAAAAAGAAAACTTGCCACAACCAAATTTCAGTTCAAAGGATATGTAGACGTGATGCCCTAGAGACTATGTTCTGTGATTAATGCAGAAACTGTGTATTCAATACTTTCACATACCCTTGTAAGAAAGGCCAGGATAAAGGGCATTTAATCAGGCTTATCTTTGCACACTAATAAAAAATACACATTCTGCAATATCAAATAAAATACAGAGTTTCTACTTCTTTCAGAGTTTTTTTATCAACTTTATGGATACGACACTGGCTTGAATATTTACTGCAAGGATTCAATAGAACTCACTCAAAATAAGAACCAGGGTTTAGCAAAATTTTTAGAACTCAGTAATTTATGTAATGATAATGAAAACTGATGAACTCCATTTACACACTTAACATTTACTTAACCTTCTAATGACTTGATGCCTAACACAGGATACAATAAAGAACTGAAATATTCACCAACTCTTATTTATTGAAGAGCCTGACAGAGCCCATTTTTTAGAAGGCATGATTCTAATATTGCAGTTTCTTTTAGTTTCACTAAATACACGAGTGAAATGAGCTCCAGTTTCTCTTATAACATCCATGATATATGAAAGAGCAGAGGGGAATGGAGGTTTGGCTCTATTGATAACCAATACTAGTAAATAGTATGGACAATGAAAAATCTCTCATTTGTAATGTGTTTAGAACAGAAAGTTATGCTATATGCTAATGGGCCACAGCACAACATTAATATTTACCACTGATACCTAGAATACGTTTTAGTGCTGACTGGAAAGCTTTCAAATTTGGGTGTAATATTTAAGCTAATACAAATGTATGATTTAGGAACAGCAGAAGAGAGAGAAGAGCAGACATTTGTTGAGTGTTTGGAACAAGGCTGTTGTGAATACTCAGGACTGGAATTAAGGACACGGAAAAAACAGTTCTCATTCTAAAGTGGCCTGAGAGCCTAAATAATTTGTTTCTAATTTTGAAATTATGCGCGTTTGGGAAACTGAGATCCGTTCAAGTTGTATCTCCATGGACATTAGCCACACTGACATCTTCTGGCTGGCTTTGATGGCAGCCAAGGAGCAGTACTTCATTTTGGGAGAGGGAAAGGAAGTTGTCATTTCAGGAGAAAGCTATTGACTGTCTTCTTAAAATTAAACCTTTGAATTGTTGAATTGTGGCTCAGGTATTGATATTTCTGAAGATCAATATATTAAAGTAAGAAATCACATCAGTAAAATGCAACATTTTCATACACAGCAAACAAAGATCTGATCTCTGTTGTATTTGTACTCAGTATAAAATAAAGAAGTGAAGGCTAAGAGATGATTTAATAAAAACTGTCATCCAATATAGTAACACTTGTGCCATGGAGACAAACATATAAGAAATTATTTTATATCATGATCAATACAAGTAAATAAGGTTAGATTAAATTTTAATTTAGATATTATTTTAAAAATCATTCCTAGAAAAAATTACCTAAAATTGAAGTAGTATTTTAGGAAAATGCCATCCCTTTCAAAGTTTTCAATTAGTAGTGATACTTGTTTGATAAATTTTTTTTGTCATTTTAGTCTCTCATGTTAAGATAATATAATGCACAAAACAATTCTTATGAAATCCTACTGTATAAAATAAACATAAAACAGTACTACACAAAATATCTTTTACAAATCAGGTAATAGGCATTAGGAAAGAATGATAATGAAATTAGAAAGCATTATTCCAAGTTCAAGAATTTAGCAGTTCAACACTGGAGAGAGAGTCTGTGTCTTTGTTTTTTAGAAATAAGCAATAAAGTATTCAAGG